TTCAATTTCACTGCATTTTAATTTAATTTTAATCTGATAACCAGTTCATCTATGTTCCTGTGTTTACTATATGCCATTATGGAACCATAGGAGTTGTTGTAAATATGTCTGCGTACTCATCCTGATAAATTTAATTCAGATGTCCTTTCTTCATTCCGTTATTTTTTATCATTTGTAGATTCGGTTTGCTTCGATTAAATATTGTTAACATACTCTTTCCAAATAGTTTTGAAATCGTGATTCAGCTTCCTGAGACGTCCAGTGTATTTTTCTCTCTTTGGGCCCTTGAAGATTGTTTTTAATCCCTTCGAGATTTGTTAGGACAACATTTAAACATTTCCATTGCTCCAAATTTAGACGTACTTAGCACTTTTTGCCATTAAGAAGTGGGGGATCTTTTTTGAGCCATCATCTTCTGGGAGACTTTGAAGGACCGTTTGCAACGTTACTCATTCGGATTTGAACCTGCGATTGAAAATTAGCCACTTACTTCTTAACTCCAAAGCAAAATGCTCCAGAGCCCACTGCAAATCTCATGGCCCTCAAAAAAGTACATTGATCGTCTATAAGCTCTGAAGGCTGACGGAAGGTTTTGAAAAATATACTCGTATGTCTGGTCTTTGCTTATTTGAGAATCTTGTCTATTTTATTCAATTTATATAAATGTAATGGCGTGAGATATTTCACAAGTTCAACTAAATAACAGTTGTGAATTAATTAATAATAAATTTTGCTTTTAAACGGCATATGTAAGATACTTAGAATTTTGTTCACAATTCGCTTTCTTTAGATTGTTCTTACTTTTCTTATTTATAAAGGTAATTCTTCATTAAATTTTAGAATGTATTTTCAAAGCTGCTGTCGGAAAATAAAATTGTTTACCTACCTACCGACCCAACTTGAGAATTGAGGGTCGGGTTAGGGGAAACAAAGATATTTTTAATTACGGCCTTAACTCTGTCTTTAAAAAAAAAAATATATCGTAGATGAGCTGCGTATACATTACATTAGCAACTGTATGGGTTATTGAAGTTAATAAATACTACTTACCATAATTTTTGCCACTGAATTCAACATCTCTTCGATATCATGACGTACGTAAATACAAAATGACGTCAACATTGAGTAGTATGGCGCGTCAATACAGACTTAAAATTATTGTAATATTTTCTAAATTTTAAATTTAATTTTTATAAAAACCACTCGTCCGATTTTTTTATCGTGTTATAATATACTATAATATACATTTTCTGGGTGATGGAAATTCTGTTGCAATTTGTTTAAGGTCAATTATATATTGACTGGACTATATCTTTAGATCTAGATAAAAGACGCTGGTACCGTTTTGAAATAGTTTTCACTCTGCGACTCAGGTTTCTGTTTACTTCATTAAGTTTGTCCTTCTAGATTTAGCTGTAGCCGGACTAACCCTGCGTCTGGTGCGGATTCGTTGATCAATAGAAGAAAGTTTTACAATCATCGAAGTGGTACATAATGAAACTTCTGAGGTGTGTTCAGCAGAGCGAGCGCTCGCTTCTGAACGGAGGTGATCGCCGGAGAGCCCGCAAGTGCTCGCGAACGGACTTTGGAGGTAGTGCGCCTTCAAATCCAATATGGCGTATGATAGGAAGAATAACTGATGTGTAAGATTAATTCTATCAAATAAGATGACTTGTCTTTACGTGAAGGTAATTTTTTTTCCGGAATATAGTGTCCACTCAGTATACTTTATATTTTGCATATTTTCATTTTTTTTTACAGTTCTTAATTAGGAGAATCCTTAGTGTAGTGGCGGACAACAAGAGATTTTTTTAAAGATGTGACAAATTGCACCATTTTTTGTCTCTGTATTTTAAAATCTCGGACAGGGTAACAAACAAGTGGTACGTTATGTCACATCTCACTATCGTCTGCTTCCAGTACTCACCATGGCTTCAAGTGGCGACGTTCGGCGAGTAGAGTGAGATTTATTTATATTATATCCATAGAAAATATAATTAGGACATTTAAAGAAGTGTTCTTATATAATGTACCGTAATTTTTATTCATTTCACTATTTGTATATTTCAGTGAAATGTATGTATATATATATAATAAGCCTAAATTTGTTGCAAGTGTGTAGGCCTACAACATGGGCCAGATAACTAGGCTTAATAAATACTATTAACTTGCATGGCTTTGTAAGCCACTCAAAGTAGCTTTATTTAGCTATTAAGTAATTTTTTTATATGAAATGAATTATGATCATACAGCTAGAAACAGCCACAGGGATTAATCTAGGTTATATGGGAGAAATTACTGTCCTTTTTTGGTAAAAAAAAAAAAGATTAACCTCCAGGGATTTGGTAGCCACTCCAGACCCCCATTAAGCATGTTTAAGTGCAGTGTGGACTGAATTTAAACTTCAACATTTTAACATGTATAATGACCATTCTGGCATTCAGAGTGCATAAAATAGCAAAGAAAAACAATATTTCACATTAAATGAACATTTTTACTAAAACTTTCCTTTTTGTTTTTTTTTTGGAAGGATAAACTTCCTTTTTTTAGCTCTACTGGTCAGAGACCAGAAGAGCTTATGCGATAGTAATGCGTCCGTCGTCCGTCCGTCTGTCTGTCCGTCCGTCTGTAAATAATTTTTCAAAATGCTACTCCTCCTACAGTTTTGGTCTGATTTCAATATAACTTGGCACACAAGTAGACTACACTAAGATACATAATTCTGTGTATCGGTTTTTGATTTCGATGAACGGTGTTGCCGTGGTTACTAAAAATAGAAATTTCTGTGAAATTCTTTCAAAATGCTACTCCTCCTACAGTTTTGGTCTGATTTCAATATAACTTGGCACACAAGTAGACTACACTAAGATACATAATTCTGTGTATCGGTTTTTGATTTCGATGAACGGTGTTGCCGTGGTTACTAAAAATAGAAATTTCTGTGAAATTCTTTCAAAATGCTACTCCTCCTACAGTTTTGGTCTGATTTCAATATAACTTGGCACACAAGTAGACTACACTAAGATACATAATTCTGTGTATCGGATTTTGATTTCGATGAACGGTGTTGCCGTGGTTATTAAAAATAGAAATTTCTGTGAAATTCTTTCAAAATGCTACTCCTCCTACAGTTTTGGTCTGATTTCAATATAACTTAGCACACAAGTAGACTACACTAAGATACATAATTCTGTGCATCGGTTTTTGATTTCGATGAACGGTGTTGCCATGGTTACTAAAAATAAAAATTTCTGTGAAATTCTTTTAAAATGCTACTCCTCCTACAGTTTTGGTCCGATTTCAATATAACTTGGCACACAAGTAGACTACACTAAGATACATAATTCTGTGTATCGGTTTTTGATTTCAATGAACGGTGTTGCCGTGGTTACTAAAAATAGAAATTTCTGTGAAATTCTTTCAAAATGCTACTCCTCCTACAGTTTTGGTCTGATTTCAATATAACTTGACACACAAGTAGACTACACTAAGGTACATAATTCTGTGTATCGGTTTTTGATTTCGATGAACGGTGTTGCCGTGGTTACTAAAAATAGAAATTTCTGTGAAATTCTTTCAAAATGCTACTCCTCCTACAGTTTTGGTCTGATTTCAATATAACTTGGCACACAAGTAGACTACACTAAGATACATAATTCTGTGCATAGGTTTTTGATTTTTATGATATTTTGTGTCTTGTTTTGTTTTGATAAAAATTTCTGTGAAATTCTTTTAAAATGCTACTCCTCCTACAGTTTTGGTCCGATTTCAATATAACTTGGCACACAAGTAGACTACACTAAGATACATAATTCTGTGTATCGGTTTTTGATTTCGATGAACGGTGTTGCCGTGGTTACTAAAAATAGAAATTTCTGTGAAATTCTTTCAAAATGCTACTCCTCCTACAGTTTTGGTCTGATTTCAATGTAACTTGACACACAAGTAGACTACACTAAGGTACATAAATCTATTTATCAGTTTTTGATTTCGATGAACTGTGTTGACGTGGTTCTAAAAATAGACATTTCTGTGAAATTCTTTCAAAATGCTACTCCTCCTACAGTTTTGGTCTGATTTCAATGTAACTTGGCACACAAGTAGACTACACAAAGATACATAATTCTGTGTATAGTTTTTCACTTCAATGAACGGTGTTGCCACGGTTACTAAAAATAGAAATTTCTGTTTAATACTCTCAAAATGCTACTCCAAATACAGTTTTAGTCTGATTATAATGTAATTTGGCATGCAAGTAGACTACACTAAAACATAAAGAGACTTAATCAAGGATCATTTTTCTATTAATTGCGGACCAAAACTGTTGAAGGAATAGCGTTTTAAAGGAATTTCACAGAAAAGTTTCAATTCCCAACTGCCTAAGTACTTTTCTCTTCTTTTGCTCTAAGTACAAACCAGTAGAGCTTCAGTCTCGACAGAGACTTCTGGTTTTGGAAGGAATTGATACTTTTATCATTGTTATTGTAATTATTGTTAACAGAAAAATACAGAATATCAATATTATAGTAAATATGTTGTAGATTAATCCCAGAGTCATTTTGACAAGTAATTAAAAAAATTATAATAATTTCCAAGAAGTCTCTAAAGCAATTGCAATCGAAGTTCCAGTTTGTGGGGCTTTACAGTATTATAAACCAGCATCATCAGTCATTTTTGTGACTAAATACTTCTTGAGTTTTGACCAAATTAACAAACCAGTTCTAGCTCATGTAGTTCGTATGATGTATCAATTAAAGTAAGCATACTTATCCATGACTCAAAACACACTAAAAAAAATTTTTATAAATTGAAATCAATTTACTCTCTCATTTTTTTATTTACATGATTGTATTGCCTCAAGTTTGTGAAAATATAGTTTAAAAGTCTTGTCTTGGAGAAAGAGCTTTTAAAATGTTGCTAGACTGTGTTAACCCTGATTTAAGATGTGGAATTTTTTGGTATATTTCAATAACTTGTTATTCTTTCGAGCACTTTTTCAGTTATTATACGCAAGCGGTATTGATATTTGCGGATAAAAGTCATCCAGACATAACGGTGGTTGTTAATCAAAACGATGCCAGACGTATACAAGAAGGAGGTGAATTGATTAAAATTATACATTATGCATGCATTGTATATTTTATCTATTTGATAATAGTTAGCTGTTTCAATATATATATATATTCATTACATATATAGCTGCAGAACTGTAGCTCTCCAAAAAAATATTTTGACAGACGGGAGAGCTACAGTGCCACCAATTGAAAAAACTGTACATTTATTGCGCACAAAAAAGTGCGCTGTTTCTAGATTTATTTTTCCACGTTTTTAAACTGTCATCTCAAAACATTACTACCCGTATGTTCTAATATATTTTTTCTGACTGTTTCCACAACAAAAGATTCCTTACAATTGTTGTTAATAGCCCTTCTGGCTTTGAAATTGAAATCATCTAAAATTTTGCCTATTTATGATGCCATTTTGGTGTACAAGATAATTTTTCCAACGCACTTCATGCAAATGTCAAATATAAGCGAACTTCATATAGGAGGAAGGAATTTTTATAAAGCTATTTTTTTTCATGTTTGAGGTAAAAATTAGAAAGAATTAATCCAGAACTAAGCACAACTTTTTGTGCGCAATAAATGTACAGTTTTAACAATGAGTTGCACTGTACAGCTCTCCAGTCTGTCAAAATATTTTGTCAGAGAGCTACAGTTCTGCAGCTATTACATATATTAATTTAGATACAGAATTTATTGAAAATATCAAAAGGCAATGGAGAGAAGCAACTCAAGGAAATCCATATGAGAAGGGTGATGGTATGAATATTTAAAATGAATAAAATGCAGTACTAGTTTTCAAATTTTATCACAAAGTCAAACTGGATATAAAATGTATTGGAAATTATAGCACATAATGTATTTTTAAGTCTTAATTGATCCCAGGCAACTTATTACTATCATGCATCAGACAGTATAAGCTGCTAAGAAACCATAATGTATTGATGCAAAAATTTCTTGGTTGGTCACTTAAATTGACCGTAAACAAATTTTTTTCTGCCTAACAGAAAACACTTTGAGGAAGTGATAATTTGAATTTGACAATAAGTGTAGCAATCTTGTATAAAGTAACCATGATTTGTGTTCATCCATACTTCATACTTTTCCAGCCACAAGTTCTGAAGAAACAACTGTAAATCATGAAGAACCAGGTTTTTCATTTTATATTTCAGCATGAAATAAAAGCAATTTTTTTTTATTTAAAAGGAAAATTATGCATGTACATTTAACTTGTAAGTTTCCAAGCCAAGATTTACTGTTTTTGACTTTTCTTACTTATCTTTCTTACAGATATAAGTGACACAATGGAATCCCAAAGCTTCGAAGAGGAGTCTTCATCTGACAAACAAGGTTCTGTTAGTTTTCATGCTAGAATATTACATCAAATATGTTGATTGATTTATTCGTTTATTTTCAATTATTAATTTTTTTTTAAATGAAAATAAATTTAAAATTTTGCAAGCAATTGCATTGAAAACATTATTATTAAATGTGACATAAAATGTAAGGTTAGAAGCTAAAACCAGGTTTTACTGTATGTCCATAAGGTAAGTTCATAGTATTTATAGCTTTGGGTTGTGGGTCAACCAGAGAAGATATCTCTGTTCTGCGCTTTGTGTTATATATAAGGCCAAGCTTAAAAAATTCTTTGTTTGCAGTTGCCGACCTATAATTTTTAGACTGGGTAGGTAGGTAGGCATTCTTTTTTTTTTTTTGAAAAAAAAAATGTTTTCAAATTTTTGAAACATAACATAAAGTAAAGTTTTTCATAGGCCTACTATACATAAATAAGCTTCACTCTTGGTATAAACTACTCAATACATTGATAAAGACAAAAATTCACAATGAAACACTTTCAATATCCTGAAAAAATTTAGAAAAGAAAAATTTACAAAATGGCTAAAAAAAGTTTGGGTTGGGTGCATTTTCAGTGGGTCGGTAGACAACTGCAAACAAATATTTTATTTTAGGCGTAAGTATACGTGTTTTAACTTCTGCATGTATAATCCTATTTTCAACCCTTTATCCTTGTACGTGTTTACATCCACAGTGTGTCAGTTACAAACCTCTGTATAATTTTACCCATAACTGTCTTATTTATAGGGACTTGTGGGTTCGAATCCCACCACTACTTACTTAGCTAGCAAAGTAGTGCAATATACTATGGTTGGTCACTATAAAACTACTAATCACTTTACATCTCTAAATTTGTTAATATATGTACCTTTATGTAATCTATGGAAACATAAAAAATGAATATAGAATATTGATTCAATTTGTCTTTTATGTCATTAACTATATATACATTTCCTGAAAAATTGTATATCTTTGTGTCATTACACTTTTCAGATGCTGTAAAATGGAATACTGAATCCGTTAAACTCTTGATATCTTTGAAGAAAGAAAATACAGAAATGTTTTCATCAAATATCATCACACAAAAACAAGGTTGGAAGAAAATTTCGGAAATGATGTGCTTGAAAGGCCATCATTGTACAGGGGAGGAATGTGACAAAAAATTCCGGTCACTTAAAATGAGGCAAGTTATTGTAAACCCCTGTCATGATATAGTTGGTTCATTTTCCGATTTTCATCCATTATTTTGTCACAAGATGGTTCAGCCATACATGTAATAAAAATATCTAAATCATTGAGACTTTCTCAAGAACCGTTATAATTATTTTCAAGTGCACTTGTTAATGATAAGCTGGATTGACAACTGATTCATAGAAAACATCCTTGGACTTTCAAATTATTTTAAAGTTAAAATGCTAGCTTTGGCTTTAATGTCAGACTTATAAATCTAAATGTAAAATTACCAAGGTAATTTTAATAGAAAGATTTTTTTATCTTTGTACACCCACCTGTGTACAAATTACAAACCAAAAAACCACACAATTTTTATTGCCCTATAAATTATGTCATTCAAAGGATTTGATTTAATGATTTTTTTTTTGTAGAAGGTTATATAGTAAACGTTTGTCAATTTTTTCCACCATGGTGTTTCTTCAAAATATCTCCTGGTCCTAGGTATTAAGCAGATAAACCAGGAATATAGTTATTATGAAAAAAAATTGCCTTCTCCATAATTCAGATTCTGAAAATGTTGGCCCTTGGTCAGGGGATCTGGTGTTAAGGCAGGGCTCTGTTTATCATTTAATTCTTTGAATTCTTTAAAAATCTTTGCTTCCTTGTATATAAAGCAGATATAAATTATTGAGAAACTTTAAACCTTTGCATTAAGCTGCCATTAAGGGACCTCAGTGTTTCACAAATACATACATGTATTGTTGTTTCTATATTGGTCAGATACAAATTAATCAAAGAAAGACACAAGAGAACTGGAAGTGGGCGACAATCTTGGCAGTTCTTCCCCCTTATGGATGACCTACTACAAGGCGACCCTGCTGTGATTCCAACAACAGTAGCCTCATCAGTACAAATACAAAATTCCAAGGCAGCAAACACCAACGTCCCTTCTTCTTCTTCCATTCCTTCCTCTTCTTCTTTTCCCAACTCTAATCCTCCCACCAAAAAAAAAAAAGAAAATTGATAACGAATCAGCATGGGTTACCGAGTATCGAAAACAGTTAAAAACTATGCATGAGGAGAGAATGGAGTTGGAAAAAGAAAAATTGAAATTGGAAGAAAGGCGGGTGGCAGCGTTAGAAAAGCTTATTAATAAAGAATAAAGCAGTCAATTTAGTATTAGTCTCAAAATGGTTGAGGTCTACTGTCCCTTTGTTCTTAAGTTAATCCAAAAATTAAAAAAAAATTACTAAATATTGATTTTATCATTCAAGGTCAATCTTGAATATATAGTACAAGGTTATAACTTGAAAAATTTTTGACATATGGCTTTCAAACTTGGAACAAGTAAAGACAACATTCTAAGACTAAATGCACTACATCAGAATATTTGACCTTGACTGCTTTTTTTCATTCTGGATCAAATTAAGAAAAAGATGACCAGACCTTGATTTAAGATCCTTTTCACATGAAGACTTGAAATTTTTATATATTTTTAGGAATCTGATGTGCAACACACTGCATTATCATTCTTTACCCTAGTCACATTACTGCACTTGTTTATGATGGTAAAGGAGGCAAGACATGTTTTTTATTACCCACTTAATCTTCTTCAGAAGTGAATTAATATACCTTTCTTATCAGAGGGACATTAGACCTTAACAAATACTATAGACATGCAGTTTTGCTATACATGTATCACCTGAGCCAAGTATCTGTACTAGATTATTTTTATCATCATATGATGAATTTTGAATTCATGCATTTGTTTAATGTTTAAGTATTTAATATTTATACCACCTCTACAGTTCATTCAAATATTCAAACCATGCTTTGTTGAAATGTTTAGGTCATTGGGAATGATTTTTATTATAAAAAAAATGCTCAGCTGATTTTAAAAGGATAGAAATTTATATCTTTAAATTGTTTATTCAAATTTGATAAATACACATAGTAACTAATTAAATATTTATTCACAAATCCACTCTGTGAAAATTGTAAACATTTGCAACTTAAGGTGTTGAGCTTACCAATACAAATGAAAAGAGAAGAAGAGATAGAGTCACATGTGTGTTGATCTGCCCATTGTTGCCGCAGATATTATTTTAGTCTATCCTTGTTACATTTAAGGTATTCTATGTATAATGAAGGGATTTTGAACGATTTTAAATAATTTAAATTTAAATTTATTTTATTGTTTGATTAAGAGGGAGTTTATGAATATTTCCACCAAGAGATTTGATTAAAATTCAAATTACTTTTTACAATATCTGATAAAAACATGCACTGTCCATAAACTTCAATGATAAATTCAAGGTGCAATTTATTGGACAATAATCAAAATTTTGTAAATTCCTGTGGTGGAGCATTTTTATTTGACAATATCATCAGAATGTCACCATGATTTAAAATATCTGACCTTTCATTTATTAGGTACAAAATATGGTCGTTATACATTGAATACCTTAAGTAATATATATACATGTACATTTTATTGTTAGAAGTTACAATAATATACATAACTAAGTGCCATTTGTTGAAAATATAACTGATCAACTTTATATTTTAATTACATATTATTACAGTTAATTAATAATTTACACACACAAGTTACTGTCGATTCCCTATTTTTGGAATGAATTTTTTTGCAAATTGGCTCTTTAACATCAAATCACAAAAATTATATTTCAAAAATGATCAATTTAGTTATTAAAATTTACATGGATTTCAGCACGCAAAAAAGGTTACAGACCTATAATATTATTTCACGAGTGATGATTCTCATTACGAAAGTATCCAGAAGTTAATTCCTCGTATATTTAGGAAGACTACAGTATGTGACCTTTCGATTAGAACATTACAAAATATTTATAAGCGTTATGTGTTATTTATTTACAAAGATGTTTTGTACACTAATTCACCCTTCTCCATTAATTGATTTAATTAAAAGTACAATATATATATATATATATATACATTAAATTTTAATTACACTCAATAAATCAGAAATTGCACAATTTTATATGTCTATTTGTTATAAGGTAAAAATAGTAGAACATCTTTTATATATTATTAAAAAAATTGCTTTTTGTCTGGTTTCACAAAACTTAGTGCCCCATCAAAAAATATATATAATATTGCATGAAAAGTCAGTGTACAAAACATAGAAATTAATTGTCTATCACAGTTTTAAATTTCATTCAGTGGTAAAGGTTTTGAGAAAATAACTTGTTCATATAATAGGAACAATCCAAAAGCGTCCCAAGACAAAGCTCCAAGGTTGATGAGTATGCCATAGTGTGCATAATTATTAAATAATATTGTTCTTTTATTGTCATTGACATCAAGATTTTTTGGCCATTGGGTAGGCAATTGAGCTAAAGCATGTACTGTTTAAGTAAATGGTCATGAAATAGTTTAACCTACTTTAATCACGTCTTGTAATCACGCCGTCAAATACATGTAAGTACACAATGTCCTTTACACTATCTCAAAAGGTTTGATTGAAGGAATGTTTAGGAGTTTACAGTGTGTCAATGGTTATTATTTATGCCAAAATATATGCATCAATGTAATATTGAAAAAATATAAGACTTAGTCTAATTCTCCATCTCGACTTGGAGGTGATGATGGACAAAGATATTTTCTGATATATAATAATTTTCCCCTTTTGATGAGTAATATATTCCTTTGCAATAATACAAAACTCAAATATATTTTTTTTCCTTTAAAAAACTTAAATTAAAAATTTTTCAGTATATGAGAAATATGGTTTTACTTTGCTACTTTATGCACTTTAAATATGGTCATAAAAATTACAAAAAAAATGCAAGCAGGGCTTGCCCTGCACTCGCTCAAGTGGTTCCCTGACTGTGGCTGTTAATCCCTGCTTACCTCGACAAAGAAATATGTAAACCTAGCAAGCATATTTGCAGCATTCGTTATTGCAATTAAAACAAGTGATACTAATTTTTTTGAATCACTCAGTCTATTAATTAGTGTAAAGAACAAATATTTTGCTTATTGAATTGATATAATGTATAAAATTACTGTAGATATTATCAATTTTCTATTCTCTTATTAACCTGTGTGTGAATGTATTGTATTCAGGACCACAATAAAGAAATGGGAGAGATATGCAAGATTTTTGTCCCATGATTATATCTCATTACAATGCTGATCCTGGATGAAAATGAAATTTAACAAAAACGAGTATTATTGTATATCTTTCAGATCAATTATGAAGCAAATTTTGCTTGATGAATTAATGAGAAACGAAAGTTCTGAACCAGATTATCTGCACACTGCAAAAGATGTGTTGAGCACAGCTATAATACCAGCAGCATCCAGTCTGGAGACAGGAAGGATTCCTGACTACGTCGAGAGAATTGTACCGATCTATAGTGACCCGATGTTTAGGAGCCATTTTAGGATGACTCGTACCTCTGTTAACGTAACATTTTAGAATATCTATAGTAGTGAAGACTGTAGAGAGATCCCCATTGTCTTACTAAGATTATGAGCGATAGGGGTAGGGCAATGCCACATAACTTAAGGGGGAAGCATCTTAGGCCATTTTTTGTCAATGAAATATGGAATCATCCTTATTTAGTTTAAACTTAAATTTGTTCAAATCATCCCCCCTACTATTGATACCACTCAATCATAAAATAATCAAGCTCATAGCCAAAATGCTCAATGTAGGCAATGTGACCCATGTGCCTCTTGTTCTTCTTGCGGGAGCTTATGAACCTCCTAGGACCGAAATTCGGACCCATGAAGAGTGTTTCCCTAGAAAAAAGGAGTCTGGCCTGTTTGTGGTTTCTGGGAAACACAGAGACATTCAGAAGTGTAGCTGATCGATTTGGGATGAGTAAAGAGACTCTACATTTTCTGTTAGCTCAGTTTAATGGCATATTCAAAAGTCATAAATTCCTCAATACTTTCATATCTTGGCCAACAACAGATGTTGAGCTAAGTAACCTTGCTGAGAAATTCTCTCAGAGGGCAGGATTTCCAGATGCAGTAGGTGCCATAGATGGCACATATATCCCTATCAGTGGCCCCTCTGAATATAGAGATTCATACATATGTCGAAAAGGTTTTGCAGCTATGCACCTTCAGGCAGTTTGTGGGCCTGATTTGAAGTTCTTGGATGTTTTTTCAGCTTACCCTGGGTCTGTACATGATACCAGAGTGTACAGAAACAGTCCTCTTTTTCAGGTGCTGCAGGACTTGCCACCCAAGTTTCATCTTCTAGGTGACTCTGCATACCCCCTGTCAACAAGCTTGCTGACTCCCTACCGTGACAATGGTCACCTTACCCTTGAGGAGAAGCGGTACAACAGTGCCCATAGCTCTACAAGAGTGGACATTGAGAGAGCTTTTGGTCTCCTCAAGGGTAAGTTCAGGAAGCTGAAGTTTCTTGACATGAGGCATGTAGAGGATATTCCTAGCACTATTCTAACTTGCTGTGCACTACATAATTTCATTTTAATGGATGAAAGTCTGGATGAGAGTGAAGTTGTTTTGGAATGTGTGAGTGAGAATGTTCAGTGTGAGAATGACGCGAGAGAGTCGCTTTCAGGACAAAGGAAACGACAGGATATGCATGTGTTAACATGAATATGTCCTATCCTTTACTTCAGTGAACTTTGACTTATAAAAATAGTAATAAGGTTAATGTCCATCTTTGTCCATCATCAACTACAAGTGTATACCAGTATATATATAATACATGACATCTATTATACTGTATTCTGAGTAAAACTGTGATGAATGAAAGCTGTATTATATTCTATAAGGTGAACAGGATATCACACTCCAGGAGTGAATTGGGAAGACAGGATTCTGTATCCACTGGGTCCTGATGTAAGCTGTAAGTGGCTAGAGAGGCCTGGGGCTCTTTCTTCCATGACATGGAAGACATCAACGATGTGGGTCCATGGAAGGAATGGCAAGGCCAGCAGTTGCTTGATGAAGTTGTGGGTCCCCTCTCGTTGTCTGAATGTTGTGACAAGGTCAAGCTGCTGTACATGGGTCCAAACTGCCTTTGTCCAGTGGAAAAAAACATCCCTTCAAGGTCACAGTAGATAATACCTCCTGGATGGCCTGTCATGCACCTGAGATTAAATAGACAAAATTGAAATTTAAAAAAATTGAAAGCACAAAAATTTGAAAACCTTATATACATAATTACATTGTACTTTAATTAAAAACTTTATTTTAATTTAATATTTCTCTAATATATACATACATATGTATAGATAAATATACATTTTCAATATTTAGAATAAATACAAATTAATTTGATAAAATAAAAAAAAAATATCTTTACCTGCTTCAAAATCAACTGTTACCATTTCCATCGAAGAATTCCCTAGTCCATCCTGCACTGCCCTGAAAACCTGAAAACAACAACAAAAAATAAGATTATCATGTTTATATAAAAAAAAGTATGTTACACATGTAATATGTGAAAAATTTTATTTTGATTTCGATTACAATCTAAAACATCTGAAATTGTACCTCGATGTAGTCTTCCTTTCGTCGCCGAGACATCAATGCAAACAGCAAACAGCAAAGGAAACTGCATGGACTTGCCGTCTTTGTTTCATATTGGTCAGATACAAATTAATCAAAGGTAAACTGGAAGTGGGCGACAATCATGGCAGTACTTTCCCCTTATGGATGACCTGCTACAAGGCGACCCCGCTGTGAGTCCGACAACAGTATAGCCTCATCAATACCGATACAAAATACAAAAAAGGCAGCAAACACCAACGCCCCTTCTTGTTCTTCCATTCCTTCCTCTTCTTCTTTTCCCAACTCTAATCCTCCCACAAAAAAACAGTCAAGAGGACGTTAAACAATATACAATCAATCCCACAAAAAAAAGAAAATTGATAAGGAATCAGCATGGGTTACAGAGTACCGGGAACAGTTGAAAACTATGCATCAGGAGAGAATGGAGTTGGATCCTCGCACACAGGAGTTGCCTCGCTGGCATCTCAGCTTAGCTGACCTCACACTACATGGTTATCTCCTTGTTCTTCCGCTGTGAAATAAAATAGACAAATTTTTAAAATGATATAGTGCTGAAACATTATCACAATGAAGTTTGCAAAGTACATAGTATAATTTATAAATTAATTTGTATCTAGATCAGAGTCTGTCTTTGCCCCTTGGTATAGACAGGTCCAGTCCAAAGACTATTTCTACCTTCATCTTCTATGCAAAATTGATTATATACGAAGCAATCATTTTTTGGCCAAATATTTGTCATATTCTTCATTAGTGTGACTGTATCAAGAAATTTTGTGTTCACCATGTTGCGCCGTTCCTGCATTTGGCCATAAAATGCAAGTAAAGCAGAAAGTAGGTAAAAATAGCTACTTTGGGTAGCTTTAAATACTTAGGTAGCTATTAATACGTAGGTAGAAATAGTCTTTGGACTGGACCCGATGGATAATTATAAATTCCCAACAATACTTATTCACAATACCTACTACTTAGCCATGACTGTAGAGCTGAAGCAGATGATAATGACATGCGACAAGGGGACCACTTATTTGTTACTCTGTATTTATTTTCAAACTTACAGAGACAAAAATGGCCCGATTGTCGAAGTCCTGTACACTTAGTCCAACTTGCCATACTTCCACCTCACCTTTCTGTTGTTTTACATTTGTCATAATGGTAAATAGAGTGTGTAAAATTGGACTCCACGTGATCTGACATTCCGGGAAATAAACATACAGAGATTAATGTAAGAAAAAAGAGAAAATCTTGATTTCAAAATAAACCAATTGTGAAAACGTCCGCCATGTTGAATTCAAACGAGCGCTCGCTTCCGTTCAGTAGACAGGTTCTCGTCGCGAGCGATAGTTCTCGCGAGCGCTCGGTCTGCTGAACACGCTACTGTTGTATATGTAATTTCGGGATTTTGTAGAGAGTCTTGGTACATTTTCATTTTCTGTTTTTATGCGCCCGAATCGATAGATTCGGGGCGTATGTTGTTTTTGTCCTGTCTGTCTGTCTGTTGTCAAACTTTTAAACCTAGCCATAAGCACTTTCAATTGATGCATACTCCACTAAATAAGTCAATGACCTTGTGACCTTGACTGTGACCTATATGCTAAAAAATAGCTTTTAAAAACTTTTTCCATTACTTTTGAACCATAGGAGATATAAACTTCATATTGGGTATGCATACTCCACTAATTAAGTTCTTTCAAATGCCAATAAGGTCAATGACCTTGTTACCTTGACTGTAACCTATATGCTAAAAATAGCTTTTTAGAACTTTCGCCATAACTTTTGCACCAGAGGAGATAGAGACTTCATATTTTGTATGCATACTCCACTGATTAATTGCTTTCAAATGACACCAAGGACAATGATTGTGTAACCTTGACTGTGATCTGTATGCTAAAAATTGCTTTTTCGAACTTTGTTGCCGCCGGGCGCATAGTGTTTCACAAACACATCTTGTTTCTCTCTGTGCTTCCAAACCGCCTCTCTCACTTTCTTTCGTGTCTCATTAGCCTTCTTTTTCGATCGCTTTGCTATGGGCACAATCCAGTAGTATCCTTTTATTCGCGCTCTTTCTCTTTTCAGATAATCCTCCCCTTCCTGAAGCTTCTTCTTCTCCCTATACTTCCTTTGTATTTCTGCTTTTGATTTCCCCATAACATGAAATTGTTTAAGTTTTGTAAGGACTTTTTATTCAGGATAATATTTTTAATTTAATAAAAATTTTCCAAGTCTATTTAATTTTTGTAACTTGTTAATCTTCACAATAAAACAAAATAACGGAACTTGTTCTGTATTTTGTAGTTTTTACAACAGAGGGTGATAAAATTTAGGATTTCATTTTTAAGTCATCTACGTTGTGTCAATAGTAATTTACGTTATCAACTATGATGTGCATATTATTAAGAATATAAAGCCTAGTATTAAATATATTGTAAAACGCAAATACAATTTATGAATGTTAATTTTAATTTTTGCCTTGATTGGAAGTGATAATTAGTGTATTCTTTCAATATGCACTGCCCTCTTTCATTCTTCGGATACATATTTATAGTAAGCTACGTTATTAGGACAGTGCGGATGCTCTGATAATTTAACTATGCATAATTTAATAGATGTAAATAACTAGGCAGATAATGATACAGTAATTTGTAGTATAAACGGTTTTCTTGAATTAAAATCAATAATTGATAGTGATAGAAAACCTTCTTAAGAACGTGGCTTACAATGCTATGAAAGTAGAAAGTAGTAGTACTAGTTTTACTCATGATGTCATTTATTATATTATGTTTACAATTCTATATGTACTGAAGAGAAGATTAATCAAATATAAAATTGGACACTTTTCTGATCCTTATTTAATGATAAATAAAATATATCTTCAAATGAAACATATGTAGATATCCGAAATAACGAAAAATATCAAGATCAAAGGTTCATAAAACAATACAAAATAGGAGCAGAGCAAACACGGGCCTCCGAAACATCAGAGGTGGGATCAGATGCCACGGAGGAGTGAGCATCCCCTGCCAACCGGTCACACCCGCCGTGTGCTCCTTGTTATATTCGGAAAATAACAGAAAAATCTGTCGTCAATTCAGTGTATAAATAATTGACTAACATAAAGTATGAAAAATTTTTGTCAGCATTTGACTCAATGATAAATTGTATTTGCTGACAAGGTCATTGTATCGACCATAGAACTTACAAAATGATGACTTTAAACGAGACAGCTGAAATTCTTGTTTCATCAACTTGTTTGTCAATAATTTACCTCCCTTTAGAATTTTTTCATAGTAGAGCATGCTCTTGCGTATCTAATCAACTGATATATATAAACTCCGTATGCAGGTGATGAAGATATATTGTTGCATAGGTAAGGGAAGATGACGATAGAAAAGTTAGTCATCACGTTTATCATAGAGCTTCGTGATTGTTAGATTACCATTAACGTCTTTTTCAAGTAAAATAGATGTGTCAGACTCTGTGGTATCTTTTATCTCAAGCTCACTAGGATATATCGTATCGTCATAAGAATGGAAATTACCATTGTTAATTGACAGTACGTCGTCGATATATCTAATGTATAGCAGGTTAAAATCGCGGTCGGAAAAGATCGCGATTTGTTCAATTTTCAGCAAATCGCGGTCGTTTGAATTCGCGGAAAGGGAAATCATACATTTCTTAAACAGTACTTACAAGCATTTTTCTGTAGATATATATTGTGTGAACTGATATTTCCTCTGTCTCTGTCTTACAAAATTCTGTATATGTATATCTCGCATATCGACAGAAAAGTCAGGTCTATTTATTGTGTCGCTTTTAAGCCCATTATCGATTGAATAATAACGACACACCGCACTGATCCTGATTTGAAGTAAAAAGTATGTTACGCATTTAGATTCCTTTATTTCCGGGTCCAAATTAGAAATAAAATTATACCGTAGTCAAAATATTGAACTTTTAATCATATAATGAATTTAATTTATTGCCGTTACCCAATTTACTACGTAAATGCCTTGATTAAAAGTAATGACTGAGTAATACGCACGGGTAAAATTTAAAAAGCATGTTTTATTTTAAATAATTAT